TACTAGAATTCTGATGTTGAGATTATCAAATACAGAAGTCATATAAACATCCATGTTCTATACTACTTCATTGATAGAAATAATTAACTCAGAAAATCTCAAATCAGCACATGAAAAATACCTCATCATATTAATCAAATCAACATAATATTATCATGGAGTTCCATTGCATTCAGACTACAAAGACTCTACTCAGACATGACTAAGGAATAAATAAGAGAAGAAGAAGCAAACTTCATTTCCATGTTGAAAGTATTCAATCTCCAAACTATTACAAGGAAATCCTAATACAAAAACTAAAAGAATTTAGAGAAAAGTCAGACTAAGTTTAAGAGAGAGAGAGAGTTCAGATCCCCCAAGATTCTCCTCTAAGTGTCAAGGCTTTGCCTTATATAGTGTTACAATTAAAAACAGAAAACTGATGTGGGCGCTAAAACGTCCATAAGTGGCCGTTTTAGCGTCCATGCTTTACGTATGCTCAACTGCTTTTAACTGATTTCAACGCTAAAACGTTAAGGAATGACCGTTTTAGCGTCCAAACTTAGTGAATGCTCAACTAACTTTAACTGACTCCAACGTTAAAACGTTTGATTTGGACGTTTTAGCGGTGAAGACCAGAATCTTTTTCCACTTTAGGGCGCTAAAACGCATATTGCAGGCCGTTTTAGCGACCAAGACCAGCAATTTTCCATCTTCTTAGTGTAGCAGCGCGCTAAAACGCTCTGTGTGGACGTTTTAGCGCTCATCACCAGCAAGTTTTGGCCTCTTCCTGTAACAGGGCGCTAAAACGCTCAGTGTGGACGTTTTAGCGCTCAACACTTAGGCAATTTTTCTCCTCTTGAGCTCCAGAATCTTCTTCCTTCTCCAGTTGTCTTTCAAGCTTGCTTTTCCTACAAGAATCATACAAATTTCCAATAAAGCTCTTGAACTTGTAATTGAGGACATCTTAGGACATTAACCTTGTTTTTCATCATTTAATTACACAATTTGATCTTAATTCCTGCTTAAAACCATGATGAACTAAGGGTTCATCAACAAGGCACACTTAGTTTCCCAAGGCTATACACAATAAGAAGGTATCGATTTTAATGAAACTTTTTCTCCTGTAGCCAAAATAACCATTATCCGTACATTGCTTGCTCTTGCTGTAATCTCCAACTGGCATTTAATTCAATTGGATGTCAACAACGCTTTTCTTCATGGAGATTTGAATGAAGAAGTATACATGTGTCTTCCTCCTGGATATGCCCCACAGGGGGAGTCTCTGCCTCCCAATGTTGTTTATCACTTAACAAAGTCCATTTATGTATTGAAACAAGCTTCACGTCAATGGTTTTCCAAATTCTCTTCAACCCTTCTTTCTCTTGGGTTTTCTCAATCCCATGCTAATCACTCTTTATTTACCCGAAGCTCACATGATTTCTTCATGGCCATTTTAGTTTATGTTGATGATATCATTGTGGCTTCTAACAATTTTGCTCATGTGCAGCATCTGACTGATACATTAAATAACTCCTTTAAGCTCAAAAATCTTGGTTCTCTGAAATATTTTTTGGGACTTGAATTCACACGATCATCCACTGGTATTTTCTTGTGCCAACACCAGTATACTCTTTCTCTCCTTCAAGATTCTGGCTACCTTGGTTGTAAGCCTCGTTCCACACCTATGGAACCTAATCTCCATTTATCTACATCTGAAGGCTCTCTCTTGGAAGATCCCACTGCATACCGTAGGTTAATTGATTGCCTTCTTTATTTGACAATAATCAGACCCGATATATGTTTTGCAGTCAATCATTTAAGTCAATTTATGTCTGCTCCTCGCCAGCCACATCTCCAAGCTGCTCAATGCATACTTGGATATCTAAAGTCCACTGTTGAGCAAGGAATATTTTTTCTTCACAATCTTCCCTTAGGCTCCATGCTTTTTGTGACTCAAATTGGACTTCTTTCCCGGACAGCCGCAGATCAGTTTCTGGCTTCTGTGTGTTTCTTGGACAATCTCTTATTTCCTAGAAGTCCAAGAAACAAAGTACCATTGCTCGTTCCTCAGTTGAGGCAGAGTATCATTCCATGGCTAATGTCACATGTGAATTGTTATGGCTTTTCTCTTTGCTCACTGATTTACAGGTTCCGAATTCAACCCCTGCACACCTTTTTTGTGACAACAAAGCTGCTCTCCATATTGCAGTCAATCCTGTTTTTCATGAACGTACAAAGCACATTGAAATTGATTGCTACACTGTTCGAGATCAACTCACTCAAGGAAGTTTACTTACTTTTCTAGTCCCTAGCTCTCAACAACTTGTAGATTTGATGACCAAGGCTCTTCACCCTGCTCCATTGGCTCATCTAGTGTCCAAGATGGGTGTTCTTAACATTCACTCTCCAACTTGAGGGGGTGTTAAAATATATTGTATTTCATTTTTATTTTTGATGTGTAATATTTTAGTGCCAGGTCATTTTATAGTTTGTTACAACTGTTTTCTGTTTAGCCTTGCAGTATGTATTTTTCCGTTTTATATTTGCTACATCAGGTGGTTATTATGACACCTTGCATTTTTCTGTTTTAGGCTTTGTATATAAGTCAGCATATTCATTGTTGAACTCACTGAGAATGAATGAATATTTTCCCATCGTTAGATTCTCTGTATCAGTTGTAATAGACTTCCTCAAGCCTCCCATGTTGACCTTCGTTCATACATACACAATCCTCTCGCATAGATTAGGCACATATCCATAAAACTACCGAAGCTGATATTGTGAACAAGTGTGCTATTCGTTAACTTAAGCGTAAGATAATAAAAATGCAAAATAAATTAAATATAATATTATGTAAATTTAAAGATAAGTCTAATAAGAAAATAACCATAATTGTTTGTCTATATCCTTAAAAGATGGGTTAAAGAATTAAAAAATATTAAATGAAAATAAGTAATAAATGTTATTTTTAAGGGTTTAGTTCTTAACATGTCAACATGTGTGCGAACATCTTAAGAGAATAACTTTTATATGGAAAATAAGGGATAAATTTTATCTCCTACACTCACGAAAAAGTATATGGAACCAATGTTTTCTTTTTCTCTCTCTTCTTCTCGTATGGACCATAGTTATTAAAATCGAACCGGCCTGGCAGGGTCGACCCGAGAACCGATAAACCGGTCATATAACCGGTCCGGTTGAAGCAACGGACCGGCCATGCATCAGAACTGGTCCGACCCGGCCGGTTTTCATAAAAACCAGTGACCCGGCCCGGTCCAAAAAAAAATTCCAGATTTTTGTTTTTTTATAAAATATCATAATAGTCATATTTGAATATGTTTTTGATTATAAACTTACACAATATGTACCTACAACACTAATATTATCTCAATTATGTACTATGCATAAAATTTTGAATTAATTTATTGTTAGAGATGTCATTTTATGAACCTAAAGCCCCGTATCACGATCGTTATATTTTTGTTTGATTTTTTATTTGATAATAATATGTGATTTATTATTTTTTGTATTAAAATATTTGAAATTTTTATCATTTTTTTTAGATATTTGAGTGTGTTTATAATTTTTTAATATAAATTATAAAATTGCATATAATTACCGAGTCATGCAGTTGAACCAGTGACCCACTGGTTGAACCAGTGACCCGGTACCTCGACCGGGTCAATGACCGGGCCAGTTTTAATAACATTGGTATGGACTCATATGGACTCCACACACTTTTACGTATAAGTAATAGATAAATTTATTTCCTAGAGATACATTAATCCCTTCCTATAAATAGGAAGGTTATACTTACAATCTATTTTCCTTTACAACATCTTACAATCATATCTTAACTGTTGATTTCCGCTAATCAACGGTCATTATTTTCGCAAATCAAACTTATTAATTAATTATTAGTTCGCAATAAATGATAACCGCTGATTAACGAAAATCAACGGTTAAGATATGATTGTAAGAGGTTGTAAACGAAGATAGATTATAAGTATAAATGTTAATTTTCAAAAAAAAAAAATGTAAAATGTTAATATATAACATTACTTTTTTAAAAACTTGTCACGCAAAACGCGCTCTTCCTGTGACCATTTCGGACTCATTCTCTCCCTCTCCTTAAACAAGAAAACAAGTTTTGTTTTTCTCTTCAAAAAGCTTTGGAAATTGACACTATTGTATAATGAGCGGGGGTGACCGGTCACAACAACCAGACCGGGTTATGCTCAAGCCCCTGCATCTCTGGTATCTTCTCTTGTTACTCTTCCCTTGATTTTTATTTTCTTTTTAATTCTAGTTTTATGCTCTTTTTTGAATGACACCGTTAATTTGGTGAATGGTACCATGTGAGTTAATAGCCAATGACACCATTTCTGGGCAAATGGTTATTATTTTATGAGTCAAAGCAATGCTAAAATTCATGAGGAGACTTGATTTCAGTGGCATGCAAGAGTTATACAAATAATAGACATGTGACGTGAGGCATGCACATTGGCATCAAATATTTGATTTTTTTGTTTTCTGAATCTAATGTATGTATTCCGATCCCTTTTTTACAGTTCACAGCAAAAATATATCTAGCTTGGTTGGCAACTCCCTTCAGATCTCATTGCATTAATGCATTAACGAAGGTTAGACATTTTTGTAAAGAATTAATTCAACCCAAAAGTTTAAGTTGTTCGGTGGAAGCCTTTTTAATGGTTTATATTATGCTCCAACACGTTCCCTCACACAAGAGCCACTGGGCTTGAAAGATGGATAATGCACAAGTTCACCTACCTGTGGGCTAAATTAGGCCTTTTTAATGGTTTATATTATACTACAACAATTTTCCTTTTAAAATTTGTAATTATTTTTTCTCATTGTATTTCAACGATTATATTTGTCTGTACTGTAGAGGATTTCAAGAATCAAGACCATATGAACTCTGCAATTATTGACAATGTATCTTCATTTTCTTATTTATGCAAATTAATTTTCTGCAGGGTCATTTATATACCTGAAATATGGAAACTTCAAATGGTTTATCAAACTTGAGAAACTCTCAACACACAGGGATACCGCCTATATTGCCCCCAAAAAGAACATCTGAAGCTGAATGTTCCTCCCATTCAATTGCTGAATTTGAAGGATTCTCAGAGGCCAAAGAGAGACTACGGGGCCACCAACGTGCATATTCTGATAGCATGCTAAGTGAGGAAGTACCCTCTTGGTTGAAAGAACTCCTTGATGAGCCAGTCTCTCCACTATGCAAGAGTCATCGACGATCATCAAGTGACTCTATAGCCTACTTACAATTACAAATAACAGCTAAGGAAACTGAAAGCAAGGAACACAAGAGCAAACAGACTTTTAGTTCAACTAACACTTGTTATGTTACATTTCCAACTTCAGTCACTCCACAAGATGAAGACGTCAAACAATCACACATGTCTGTAAAACAAAATGTGCCAGACTCAGAAGGCTCCTTTGTTCAGCATCGTTCCTTACATTCCAATCCTTATGCAACCAAACCAGATTCAAAACGTGTCAAAAGGTATGTATATACAGGCCTTGTTTGGAGCACCTGATAAAGAAGATATGATAGGATAACTTATTGTTGAGATATATAGTCTCATATTGGTTGTATGTGCAACTAATGTGGAGTTTATAAGGTCTTGGGCACTCCCACCCTTTGAGCTAGCTTTTGGGGTGGTGTATCCCAAGGTTCTTTTCATGGTATCAGAGCCTCGCCGCCCCCCACTTTCTCTTGTGGAGTTTCTTAGCACAGGTAGGATGGGCCTGTTGCATTGTCCACGCTTCAAGCCCAAAGGGCTCTCGTGTGAGGGGGCGTGTTGAGATATATAGTCTCACATTGGTTGTATGTGCAACTAATGTGGAGTTTATAAGGTCTTGGGCACTCCCACCCTTTGAGCTAGCTTTTGGGGTGGTGTATCCCAAGGTTCTTTTCACTTATCATATCTTACTTTTATCTCTTGTTTGGTGGGTCAATAGGATATGATTAGCTTATCCTATTGTCTCATTTTATCCTATCCAATACATGATTTCTTATCCTATGGGGGGAGCTGGGTTAGAATTCAATAGGATAGGATACCAATATTAGGTACCCACTATATCCCCACGCTACCCAATATATTTATATTTATTGCATTATATTTTGTTTTTCTCTCTCCTTTCTCTTTCTACATAATCTTATCAGATTGCTAATCAGGTGATCATCAAACGCAGGACATGATATAGACTTATCAGCCCCATATCATATCCTACCCTTATCAGCCCCATATCATATCTTATCATTATCCTATCATGTCCACCAAAGGAGCCCATAGTGTCCTTAACTTTTCCGGGCTTAAGGAATTTATGTTTTCACATAGGATAACTCTGGGAGGATCGAGAATGTCTGACTGAATGTAAGTGATTAATATGTGATTCATACGCTTGCGGTGCTCTATGAAAGAGACACCGCAAAGGGTGGCATCTTTGTGCACTGTGGTGGATCGAGGCGCTGGGCCAAAGATATAGGGGTGTGTGCATAATAATAGCTAAGAGAGAGTAAGGAGTAGAGGATGTGTACCTGAAAGGTGTAATGTTTTATTTATAGAAACTATTACTCGTAGGTGAAGGAAGTGTCCTAGTGGGAGTCAAATTATTAGGATACATGATGATAAGGGATCCTATCTCTTATCTCTTGTGCTTATCACTTATTGTAGTTTGTTGCTTCTAGAAGCTATGAGACCCACTGGAAGGGTTCAGAACAATGACATTTGTTACCGGTATATAATCTCTATTGCTTCTGGACAATTTATAATTTCACATAGGACAATTTCTATTTTATCTTATCCTACACATTTTTCCTTTTCCTTGGTCTTCTTTGGTGCATACTTGCTTATGTGCGAGTAACTAGGTGGGCTCAAAAGGCATATTTGTTCTTCTTGAGACTCCATATTCCTATTTCATACATGTTCCTTCATGGTATAAATATTACTCACCAGGCTTTCTCAATATAAAACTTTCAAATATAAATTAAGCTGGTTGTTTAGTCAGGTAGGATCCTTCCTCTGATAATATTCAAAGAACAAGTAAGGCTACAACTGCGAGTATTATTTAAATAATGCGCAAGACAAGTGATTTAGATAATAATAGATAAGGAAGAGCATAAGTGTTATCTGCATATACAAATCAATTATTCTTTACACTTTTTGCATCCAATATTTTGTGGTGCAATACAGGCATTCGGCTCAACAAAACCGGGCCAGGAAAGTACAATACATTGCTGAACTGGAAAGAACTATCCAAGTTTTGCAGGTAAGAGTACAAAAATATATGACTTTTTGTCTCATACCTGAAGGGAAAATGTTACAAATTCTGCTGCTACTTCCTTATAGGCAGAAGGATATGGAGTTTCAGCAGATCTTGAATTTCTTGATCAGCAAAATCTCATATTAGGTATGGAGAATAGGGCCCTCAAACAACGGTTGGATAGTTTATCCCAAGTGCATTTCATCAAATGCTGTAAGTAGCAACATTTTGTTCATTTCTTTAGTTTAATTTATTTACTTTTACAACTTCATTAAGCTAGACAGAAATTGGATAGATTTCAATGATTAACTGAAAAGTATTGTCATGTCAGTTATGAATAACATTTATTTGTTCTCTTTTGATTTTATGTTATTTGCTGATTACAAATGTTGGATGGCATAGTGGAGCAGGAAATGCTTGAGAAAGAAATCACAAGGCTTAGAAATCTTTATCAACAGCAACAACAGCACAACCAGCAGCAGCTGAAGCATTATGGTAGGCCTCGATCTAAAAGCCAAGATTTTGATTCCTCATTTGCAAAACTTTTGAAGCATAAGGGAGCTGAATTGCCGAAAGCCAATAGTTTTCTGTTGAAAAGTGATATTCATGAATTCACACTGTGATTGTACAGCTAGCTACCTGGGGCTCCATGGCTTGAGACACCCTGGTTTTCTACAATTAAATGTCATAATGAGGTCTCAAATATAGTCAAAGCCCTCAATGGTATCTCTAGTTTGCATAGTAGAATATCCCCCAATATAGAGGATCTCTTTAGAAGAATGTCGATTCCAATTGGAAGCTATGATTAGTGACAAAAATATATGCTATACCAATATGCATCTCTGGTGTTGCCAGGCATGGACAATCTATGTAAACTCTTATGTTGTGTTAAATAAATATCATGTTAACTCCATCCTCAAAAGGAAATATTACTTCTAAGGGTTTTTTTTTTATATTATCCATTCGTTCATTGATTATTCGACTAGTCTGATTCGAGTCAGGTAAAGATCATATAGGTGACAAAACTCCTCCTACCAAGTTTTAACGTGGCTACGTTCATGAACTGCCCCTTACATGCAGTTACACTTTTAAGGCTTGAGATGATACAAGTCCACAATTTGAAATAAAGCAATGTAGAAGAACTTTTTCTTTACAACAACCAATCCTTACTTTATTTCACTATGAGAAGTCTGGTACATTAATTAATCAATATCACTGGACTTTACCAACGACCAAATTTTCATTAAAATCATTCAAGAAATGTCATTTTTACTGGTTTTAGATCTTCCTCTATCTCGTTAATTGGGATATCTTCCATTTTATCTGCTTTAATTTTACTTACTAGAATATAGAAAACATACAAAATTAAACAAACTACAAAGGGACCGATCAGGTAAAGAGCCACATCAAGAAAATCGTGGAAAAGTGTAATTAAGAGTAGATCATAAAATGCGACTTAAAACTAATTTGGTTTTATGATAGGGAAGTCAAAAGTCAAAACCATTGAGATTATATATTTGGGTTTGGTGTTTGTCATTTTAAATGACATAAGTTATGTCATTTTAGGAGAGAGATAGACACAGAAAAATGAAAATCATGGGAGAGAGAAAGTGGGTGATTTTTTTAATTTAAAATTCAAATTTTCTGTGTCTGTATCTCTCTTAAAATGACATAACTTTCTGTCATTTAAAATGACAAACACTTTTCCCTGTATATTTATAGTGTGGGCTGATGCAAAACACAATAAAACTTAAAAGGCTTGCACATCGTGAAAGCTTGGTTTTCATTTTGATACAAAATGCAATCTCAATCTAACAAAATTACAAAACCGATCGATCAAATGTTTACACAATTTTGTGCAAATGGAGGAATAAAAGGGACTTTAGATTACTCTTCATCTTTTTTGTTTTTTGTTTGTATATAATTACTCTTCATCTTTGGTCTTGCCTAAAAGTGATTTGTATTTTACCAAAAAAATAAAAAAAAAATTGATTTGTAAAAAACACTCGTCAGGACATGATTTTAGTGCAGTTAAATAGCAAAGATGAGTACAAAAATATTAATTCCTTTACAATAATTTATGTTAAGCTTACAATTGAATGAGTAAATTAATTCCTTTACAAAAATATTAATTAATGTTAGCATGGATGAGTAAATTGAATGAACTGAGAAATTTGGATTAATTTAAATTAAATTTTCCAAACAATGCTTAATCATGTTAAGTGATTTAGGTTTCACTGAGCTGGTTGATATATATGTACAAGGAGATCTATCTTGTGTGTTCAAAGAAGACTTTTGATTACAAAATTTACCACTTTATATCTAAACCGATATGCTATAAAATTAATTTCTACAACACAAAAACAATGAAATAATTTGTGCATGAATGATCGATACCTTCTTCAATATTAAGGTCTATTGGATCACCGGTGATGTCCTTGGATAGAGGTTGGGAACCGCGCGCAATTGCACAAAGTCAACAATCGCAAACAGGAATCGAATGAAAGAATGGGAAATGAAAAAAAAAAGTGGAGTATAGAGTGACTTATATGCATGGAGGAAATAGTACTTGGTCATTGGGGGAGGAGCAAAACTTGCTAGGGTTTGTGAACTTGCCGAGCATCCTCTACGAGACCTTCTTGATCTTCTCTTCTTCGTTGAACTCGAAGACGTCGAATTTTTTTGTTGCAGAATGATAGAACAGGGAAAATTAAGAAAATGTTTTGGTATATGTTGCTGATATTATGGAACAATGCTCCTTACAATTGAGGAAATCATATAACAGAATAGTGACACCTTGTAAAAGACTTTGAAAAATAACACATACTCACCAAAGGTCCACCACTCGATCCTCTATATTTACCCACTAATTCATTGCATTCTTCTTACCATTTCCACACTGCCTTCCCACTATAAATCCCCACACATACTACCCCTTAATCGTTCTAACTCTCTCACACACCTCTAACTAACTTCATGTTCTACCTCCATGCATTGAATGTTGATATCATTCACTGAACAGCACATTTGCCACATCATCCCATTCCACATCAGGTCTTGTGTCATCCCTTGTATCCTCTTCAAGTTGCATTAGGCCTTCTAATATTATTAGCCCAACATCTCTCCCTATGATTAAGTCAGCATCTCTCCTTTTTCCCTTTCTACTATAGTCATATTTCTTAGCCTCAACACAGAAACAATGAGGAGTTTATGCATAAGTAATCGATACCTTCTTAGCATCAAGGTCAATTGGATCACCGGTATTGTCCTTGGATAGAGGTTGGGAACCGCATGCAACTGCACAAAGGCAACAATTGCAAACGGGAATCGAAATGAAAGAAAGGGAAATGGAAAAAAATATAGTATAGAGTTTATGCTTTCTTCTTATTTCTTTCTCATAACCACGAAATTTTCTGCACTTCCTCTCTTCTCCATGTTCGACCACCATAGAAGAATTTAGAGAGCCCATTTCATCTATTTTCCTTCACTTTTAGATAAAATATATTTCACAAAAAATAATTATTGAATCTTAAGGAACAAAACCCTAAGCTTTGTTTCTCCAAAGAAGCCTTCAATCCTTGGATTTCTCCTCTTGAAAGCCACGACCTAGGTATTGTTCATGGGTCTAAAGATGAGTGTTTTCTTGGTTTAAAGGTTGAAGAATCATCCTTAGTTCATTTGGAGTGCATTGGTGTCAAGAAATTCAAGTTTAAATGGTTAGTTTTCAAGTTATGAATTCTAAGGTTTTCGTTAAATATGGCTGAATATTATGGTGATGTTATGTGTTTACGGTAGGTTTTAGTATGTATTCATGGTCTTTGGTGTTCATGGAGTTGAATTGATCAAGTTTGAATCATTGGAAGTTGTAAAAATTCATTAAATTTGAAGAAACCAATTCTGGCCACTATTTAAAAAAATTCATATCTGGAGTTATAGGACTCCAAATTAAGTGTGGTTTGTTGAAAATTAAATATACACATGTCTACTATAACATATTAAAAATTCAGAGAAATTAGATCAAAAATGGAGTTTTTTGAATTAATTAGTGAAGATTGTCAATGCTGGAAAATAATGCACCAATTCGGGAATAGGTCTTTTAATTGATGCATACCACATGGTTGATGAGTTAATTAAGTGGAAGGATATTTTTTCTAAGTATAGGATGTATATGAACATTTGAATTAAAGTAGTAAATTGAATAAATTCATGAACTTATATATAAACCCTAATTGGCCATTATAGGTCTAATGGGGGTAGTAATTGTGTTCAATTCGTATTGAATTTCGATGGAGTGTCAAATAAAATGTGAATTTGTAAGTGAAAGATTGAAAAACATGAAATTGGTCTATGCTAGGGTTCGGCCACTTGATGGTCTAATTGCTTGGAAATCAAGTTAATTAATAATGAAACCTAGAGGCTAATTTAAAGTGGTTTATAAGAATGTTGAGACGGTTAAACCTTAAATTTGGGGAAAATTCATATATGTTAAATTCTATGTGAACTAAAGTTAAGTTATGGGTTTTAGGTCTGACTTGTGGTATGGGCATGAATTGTCAGGCATGAACATGTTTAGTATGATAAATCCACCAGTATTGTTGTATGATAGGATTAAGTGAAAGTCAAGTTGACTTATCTATATTCCTTGTTATTGGTTGTTGAACCAGGTGTGAATCAAGGGATACGGTAATTCCAGAATGGGACTCTGAGGGTCTTATATAGTTTGCTAGTGTCTCAAGTAAATGCGGTATAGAGCTTTGTAAGGTAAGCTCTCGGTTTAAGAGTTCTCTCTAAACTTGTTGTTCCACATGGTCCAGTGGGACCTTCGTTTATGATTGTATGGTTGATATATGTTGGATCATAGTATAGTTGTATTCATATAGCACATACATATGAGATGATGTGTTATGTTATGATATGTTATGTTATGATATGATATGTGCAGTGACGGTTCCTGATCAGTGAATCCATACACTGTTATGATCCCGATATACATAAGGTGTGACTGAGGGGACATTAGTCTCTGATCACTGTGTATGACATACGTTGGTTATGATCCCAATATACATAAGGTAAGACTGAGGGGACACTAGTCTCTAATCACCATGTATGTTTCTTCTTTGGGAATCTATTATTCTCGGAAGTATATGTTTGACTCTCCTTGTGGGATACAACCCCTGGAGCATAGTCACTGGATATGTTATAGTATATAATGTCTTCTATGCTATGTGATCTAACCCTTTATGCATGAAGTGAGTTCTTGAGTGAAGATTGATCCATAAACCTAGAGTTTATTGAGATTTATTCTCACCCCGCACTATGGGGATATATTCCAGGTACTCCAGTAGCAAGGGACCCGCGCAGAGTGGCTAGATCATCCAATTGGAGCAGTTATATAGCTAGATATTTTGAAAGATTGTATGATCATATTTTGTATAGCACGATATGTATATGAACATGCATTTATGCAGTTATATCTTGATATTTCTTTAGAGAGGCATATGTAGCCTTCTATATTTGTACCCAGAGGATATGATTATGTGTATGTAGTTATGTCTATCTTGAGATGGGACATCTGCAATGACGCAGAGCTATATGCTAGTTTATGTTTATATGATGTATTGGA